ATCAGTCAAATTCGAACTGTCTGACTACTCAAACAGGGAGCTATGGACTCCATATGATGCCATGAACCATCGCATCTCTAAGCATACAAAGTTGTGCAAAAAAAAAAAAAAAAAAAAGAGAGACAAACCTGAGGTGTTTTGGGAAATTTGAATAACTTGGAATCGGCATCTCGGAAGGTGCCCCCAGCATTAGAATCTATAGAGAGAGTAGCTTTGCTCGACGAAGAGAGCCTTTTCATAGCAAAAGCATCACAAGTCTGCTCAGCATCCAAAATAGACGAATGTTGATCACTACGTGGCTGCTTTGAAACTTCAGAAAATCTCATCTGGGCCGCAGCAATGCATGCATCAAGGGAATCAGTTATTACTTCAGCTGGCTGTACGCCCGTATTGCCCCCTGTTATCTTTGAATCCCAGAAACTGCATTTTCCCAATAAGGAAGCTTCAGAAAGGAGGCCTCCCATGCTTATGTTTGAGATACTATCTAACTGCAATATTCCACACTTTTCTGACAGCTGATAACCAGAGTCTAATGGTGGTCCATTATCCTATTCAAACAGTTTTATCAAATTTCAGATCATAACAAAAAACAGTAAGCTACAATGGACGATTAAATAATATTAATTATTAGTTGCTAACGTCAATTGTTGTGTATCTATGTTGTGTACCTTCTTGTTTTCACATCATTGATGCATCCTACTTTTTTCAATAAGCAAACGGTAATGATTCGTTGCATAGACCTCATAGCAATGTGAACTAGAAACAAGGATCATGTAAATTTTATACTAATATGTTCCCTCTTGTAATAGTGTTCATTTAAAATTTTAATAAAACTTTGGAAGTTGAATATATTAATATAATACCATTGCATTAGTTGGACAATCCACAATCCTCTCTGGTGCAGCAGTGTTATTCGCATCATTCACATTACTTGATTTGATCCTGTCCATCAATTCCTCAGATTGGCTGCCTTTCCCATGCATGATTTGCACGATTTTCCTGCAACCCTTCTCCAAGCCATTCGAGGATGAATGAAGTTTGAAACGAATGGGTGTGCAGACCCACCCATACCTTAAAAAGAAGAATAATTTCAAGTAACGCATTGAACTTAAATGACTGAATATATCATTAGCAAGGCAAATGATAAAACTGTGCACCTTAAGCGAAAAATTGAGGAACCTCCCACAGCTGCATAGACATCTCCAGCAGTTATATCACAGTCTTTCAGAGTCCATTTTAGACCACTGGGAAGACTAGATGACTTGCCGTATGGAAAAAGTGTGAGCTCCCCTCGTGCTACATTAGAACATCCCCACTTGCTAATAAGATGTTTTAATACCGAAGAAATTTTCTTTCGTGCCCTTAAAGTCAGTTCCAAATATGGATGATATCTATCCTACAAGAATTGAAGGCATGGTTTTATCACATCTCAAATATGAACTGAAATATAGATAACATATTTGTCTATGCTTAATCCTCAATGTTTTGTGCTAATGACTGTACCTTTTCCAATGCCATGCGGGTCTTTACATTTATTGGAAAAAGTTGAAGCTTGATCTTTGTGCGAGGATGGGGCTTCTGTGCGGGATAAAGATCAAGAAGAACTGAACTCTTTGTCATTTCTGTTGCATTGGTTCGATCAACCAAACTCTGTATATTCTTCAAGTCATCTGCACTAGATCAAAAGAGTTGAAGATTGTAGTTTGTAAACATCATTCTCGTAAAATAAATACAGAAGATAACTGTAAACAAAGAAATCGGTTCTTTTTTCGCACTTGAACGGGACACGTATTAATTCGTGTGAAGACACTAGAACATCAGTTTAAAACAGAATAATTTCCCCAAAAAAGAGGCATGAAATTTGGGGAAATTAGTTTGAATAGAACACAAAACATAAAACAAAATAAATTTGTTGTCAAACCTTCAATGAGTGCAGTGTCGAGAGCTTTTTTCTCCTGAGAAGTTATCTTTCTAGACTTCTGAACTCCAGTGGTGTCAACAGAACCCCGACCCCTTTTCTCCAACTTTTTTGCCCTTCTACCTGGCTGTCTGGCTGCTTTCATAATTTTTCAACTTTCCAGCACTCAATAAGGTGTGAGGAGAATCACTTGAGCTATTTATCCAAAAAGTAGAATTAAGATGGCAGAAACTGAAACAGCTAACAGCGAGCACCTTCACCATAATATAAACAGTGTTTTCCATGCTATCGTTACGGAGGAAATTACCAAATTGTTCTAGCATGGCTGCAGTTCGAGTTTTTTTTTTTTTTTTTTTTTTTTTTTTTTTTTTTTTTTTTTTTTTTGCAAGGTCCGAAATAACACCACCCTAAAACCTAATTACTAAAGGAGTTTACAAATCCTCATCATGGTCTTAATCTGACAAAATTAAGTAGTTCCATCGCTACCATAATATAAACAATAGAGATCCATACTTACTCGGCAACGCCCTACTACAAGGATCAGAGAATTTCCAAGCGTCCTTAAGGAGAACTCTATACATAAAATCGAATGTGAATCACGCACTCAAAATCCGTAATTAGTACTTCACTGTTTGAAATTTAATATCGACCCAAGCCAGACCTGTATGTCATGACCAAGATACTAAGATATAATGTTAATAAGGCACAATTTGCGTTATTGCATCGCAGGACATAAAACTGCAACTCACATCATTCAAACTCAAACTACTAACATTTCTCATTACGCAAACCAAGTATTGAAATCAATAGAACCAAATCACCATTAAAAGCTACTAAACATAAACGAAATTGAGCAAGATAAACGTAATGAACAGAAAAATAGGCATACGAATTGAATTGCTCTAGTTTCAGAGATATAAAGCGGAAATAGAAGAAAGTGAGTCGAACCGAATGATGGAGCAAACAAGATGGATCGAATTTCCGAACAAGAAATTGACGGATGACCAGAAAGTTCAGAATCTTTCGCAGCAGAGAGGCTCAGTTTGAGAAAGATTTGAATAAAGACGGGAAAATGATAACGCGGGAAGTGGAAAATTTTCAGATCAGTCGGTCGCTCCGCTGAAGAATTTCGCTCTCTCCCCCTTTATAACTTCGCTGTTCAACCAATACGAAATGACAATTTTGCCCTCGTGCCAACTTGCAATTACCAGAAGAGCTTCTTCCTGTCTTTTGGAGGGGGCCGAAGTTGCTGTCGACTTTGAGATATTTTTATAAATTTATTAAAAAAAAATAATAATAAAATAATTGTGAATAAAAATTGGTAAAAATTCGTATGCCCTTTTATAAGAAAACTCTTCATTAATTTATGATCAAAATTAATTTCTTTTATTTTAAATATAAATTAATTAAAACCCAATAAATATATTAAAAATTATGCATTATGCTCTTATTTATTTAAATAATTAAATTTAAAAATATTTACTATTTTATTAAAAAATGAATATTTAAAACCATTATACCATGAAATTATATATAATTTATCTTTTTAGTCAAGTATATCTAACAAACTAAATAATATTCATGACTGATTATTATATTAAATACATACATTTTTATTTAAAGGATGGAAATTTATATCTCATTTAATACGAAAATAGAATGGTTAGAAATTAAATTTTGTTATTAATTTTCAAAACCATTTTCGAACTACAAACCAAAAATGAAAGAACAAGTCTTACTTTAATCTATTTTATTTTTAATTTTATTAAAAAGTCAAATAAACATGAGATACAATCATATTTTAAGAAATTATAAATAAAAAATAAAACTGATACCATATGTGGCCTTTTTATAAATTAAAAAATACAAATAATTAATCCTTTAAAATGGATCGAGCCCTAGATGATTTCATTTGATTTTATTATTATTACTGTCATTCATTTGATATATTTTAGATTATTTTTTTGACGACATTTTTCGATTTCGGAATTGAAAATTTATTAGATATATAAAAACACCTCAATTATTTCCAAACTTTTTTAATATTATTTTTAAAATTTTATGAGTATTTTTTAAATACGGTTAAAAAATATCATTTAAATATTCTTTACTTATATAGGATATTTTTTAAATATTACTTTTTGTATTCAAGACTATAATAAGGTATTTAAATATATTTTTTAAAAGTTTAACCAGAGGTATTTAAATGTATTTTAGAGGGTTTGTTGCATCTCAATTCCCACTCTTTTCTTGCCTCTCAACAAAAGGTACGTTTACACAATCATGCTATTTATTTATTTATTTATTATTTATAATTTTAGTTTTTAATATTTTATTTATGTAAAATAAAAATATATAGTTTTTATTTCATATTTAATTTTTTAAAATAAAATTTAATTTATTTAAAATCCTTATTTCCAATTTTGTCAAAAGAATCGAGAGTGGACTTCTTTGGTCTTCTCTATTCAATGGTTCACTAGTTTCTCGAAAGATTCAAAAGATTAATCACATACCACCTACTAATAATCTTGGCTTGGCTCGAATGAATTTTGATTTATAATTTAAAATTGTATTTAGATTATAATTTAATTAAATATATAGTTTGTATTGTAATTGTTTCTGAGAATTATATGAATGTTTGTTTAGATTAAAACTCCCAATTATAGGCATATGGCTAAATTGAGGTATTTAAATAAATAATTGTGGCAAATGATATAATTATTTTAAAAAAATTGAATATAATCGGTTCGGGAGTTATATATTTATATTTGTATAAATGAAATTAAATAGAATTTAAAAAAAAAAAAGAAAAAAAGAGAAAAAGAGAAAAGAACAAAGGGCAGTGTCTGTTATGAAATGGAAGTCAGCTGGTTGTCGTTAGTGGAGAGAAGAGAGAAGGAAGAAGAATTTAATAGAATTAGACAATGTGTGTTCCATTTCGATCGTTAAACATTCTCTGCCATTTTCCAGCATTTAATGGCGGCAATCCTGGGGCGTTTCTTCTGATTTTCAACTTCTTTTTAGCTCTCCTCTTCTTCATCCGCTCCATTTCAAAGGTTCGTAGTTGCCTCGACCTTTCGTAGTTTTGACTCGTTCAATGTTACTTTTGTCTGCGATTCAAGTTGGAAACGTCTTTGATTTTTCCTCTATCTGTTGAATTTTGTTCTTCCAGAGTGTTGTTTTCTTCGATTGAAATTTCCGTAAACCTATTCTTGCTGTTCGTCCTGATTCTTGTGGTTTATCGGTGAATTGGATCTATTTTGATGTGCGTTCTGCTTCAATTTTGTTGTTGATTTTCTTGTTTTGGATTCGGTGGAGAGTGAGGAGATCTACTGATTGGCGTGCTCATTCTCAATCTCTGCATGTAATTGGGTCTCCTTACCCGTTTATTTTGTTCTTCAGCTGTTGAAAGATTCTGTGGTTTTAGCTTGAATTTCTGGGATGGTTTTGGACTCGTTTGTGGACTTTTTTTTTCTTCTTCTCTTTTTAATATTTATATTATGCTTATTCAATGGTATAGGAGTTACTATTGGCCAAAATGTAAAGATTCTTCAAGGAAACGACTCTCTGTCACGTTTTTTACTTTTTGTTATTTTGGTTTGAGATCTGAATCCCCTAATTTTAAATACTATGCCAATGGAAGCGCTTAAGTAGAAGGATCTGCACTTTAAAATTAGCCTGTGCATTACTTACATGGGAGTGTTCGTTTTTGCTTGGCCAGTAGATGTTCTGATTTTCAAGATTGTCTAGCGTCTGAAATTTATTGTCTGTAAATTAACTTGGAGTTTTCTTGTTAAAGTTGAAGTTTTCCTTTGAAACTTATGAACTATTGGGAGTTATTTTGACTTCCAATTTGGGTTATTTTCCCTCTGCGCCTACTGCTCATTTTAGATGATCAAGTTAAACCTTATCTTGATTAAAGCTACAACGTTTTCTTGGTTCTTCTCTGTCTTTCTATTTATTTATTTTAATTATTTGTAATTTTATGATGGTAAATTTTGTACTACAGTTAGTACTGCAGAGCATCAAGATCAAGCACTTCTGTTTCATTCTTTTGAATGAAGATTGAGGACTTGAAGTGCTGATTAAAAACAACTCCATAGATTATAATGTCTTCCCCGGGCAAGATTCATCACAAGGCCACTCTTGATGTTGCCTCATGGATGTTTAACGTCGTCACGTCTGTAGGGATAATTATCATCAATAAAGCATTGATGGCCACATATGGATTTAGCTTTGGTGCGCATTATAACTTATAATATATTCAAATAGTGTTCTTTCTTTTACAGGTCTAATATTGGGATGTTTGATGTCTCATGGTTTCCATGTTATGAATGGAGTGTTCTTGGTTTGCTAAAAATTATTCTTACGAGTTATATTTTGTTCCAAACTTGACTTTCTTTTTAATTAATTTGTTTAACATCTTGTTGCAGCTACAACTTTAACTGGCCTACATTTCGCCACAACGTCCTTGCTGACTTTTATTCTTAAGCAACTTGGTTATATTCAAGATTCTCACTTACCCTTCCTTGACATTCTTAAATTTGTTATATTTGCTAACTTCTCCATTGTGGGAATGAATGTGAGCTTAATGTGGAATTCTGTTGGGTTCTATCAGGTATATTTTTTATATTTTGTTCATTGTTAAATTTGTTCATTCTTCCTTTAGTTTTTAGAATTAACATGATGTTGTAATTCGTCTTTCATAATCAGATTGCAAAGTTGAGCATGATCCCCGTATCTTGTTTTCTAGAAGTTGTTTTGGATAAGGTGCAATACTCAAGGGACACAAAGCTTAGCATACTGTTAGTTCTACTTGGTGTTGGAGTTTGTACTGTCACTGATGTTAGTGTCAACATGAAAGGTTTTGTGGCTGCCGTAGTGGCGGTATGGAGCACTGCCTTGCAGCAGTATGTAAGTAAATGCATCATTAATCTTAAATTGGCACTGCTGCATAAAATTATGACTTTATTTTCTGGTTACCTTGAAATTACAATAGTGGTGTATGATTGGTTTTTAACAGAATTAGTTTTTACCACTTTGTCTCATGGTGAAATTAACTTAACTGATAATTGGGATTGTTTTGGTTCATTCCTGGACCAATGAGTATTTTTCTAATACAGCCTTGGCCCTTATTCTTTCGGTGCAGTATGTACATCACCTCCAGCGAAAATATTCTCTTGGATCATTCAACTTATTGGGTCATACCGCTCCAGTGCAGGCTGCATCTTTGCTGTTAGTCGGGCCCTTTTCAGACTATTGGTTGACTGGAAAGAGAGTCGATGCCTATGGTTACACTTTTATGTCCTTGGTAAGCTCTTATATCTATTAGTATGCCTGGGGAGAGTTGTGGTAAGCATCAGAGACGGTTACTATTTTTTTAAAAAAAATTTTTGGCATTTTGCTTTATACCTTAGTTGACAAAAAACACTTTGTTTAATATGGTGAAAATTTACAAAGAAATCCTATAACGAACATCCTACTAGCCCAAACCTTCTGCCCAAACCTTCTGAAAGCACACACCCAAAGCCAATATTCTTGTGTTAACATTCCGTTGGAATTTATCAAGAACCACCCCAATTATTTTTGGTACATTATATGAAACATTATAAAAAAACCTTTGCCCAAAGGCACTCTGAAGAGAACAATGATACCACGTAGCGTGGATTTGCTTGCATTGATGCATAAGTTCCTATGGATCATCTCATGCTATTACTTGTTTTTATTGTGGCAACATCATCTCCTAGCCACTTCTATGGATTGTGTAGGAGGCAAACTGAACCAACATGACCTAATGATCAACGAGATGAGAAATTCCATTTGCCTAGAGAGAAGAATCAAACAAACATTCCCAATCTAGATTGATAACAGAAGCGAAGTAGTTGACCTTTTTTTTCTTGAGTTCTCCGCTTTTGCATTGATCCTTCTCCATTTTAAATTAAGAGCCGTCATTTTTTCTAAAGTGGCTACTTGCAAATGGCTATTGTCCATAATTTTGTCTGCGTGCCTTGATTGCAATGGAGCTTGGTTTTTTCTTTTTAATATGAGGAACGCTTTGATTCATATGGTGAAATTTTACAAAGAAATTCTATAACGGACATCCTACTAGCCCAAACCTTCTAAAAGCACACACCCAAAGCCAATATTATTGTGTTGTAACAATCCGATGGAGTTTATCAAGAACCACCCCAATTATTTTTGGTACGTTAGATGAATCATTTAAAAAACCTTTGCCTATTACCCCTTGCTGTGAAATATAAGGTTTTTCTGGTTAAGCTTGGTTGAAATGAACCTGTTACCCCCTGCTCCACTTCATATGGAAGTAGTTCAGTAGCTTGGCAGAAGTTCTGGACAGTACCCGTCTGTTCATCCTTCAGCTCCATGAAAGATTCTTGCTGGTTCTTTAGAAATGCTGCTGTGAGCTTTGATGTTCCTCACATTCACAGATAGAGGTTTTCAATGATTGTTTTTGAAGGGGGTTATTGAACCACAAAAGAAATTCTATCTTCCTTTTGAATGTTGTTTCATCTAGGAACAAATCACCCTCAATAGTTATCCTAACTTCAATAACAGCTCTCAAGCTTTTACCAAACCTGAAGCTTATCAGGGCATTTAGTGAAGTTGCCACATAAATTTCCACTGAGTTTCCAAACCTGATGGACTTGGAGAGTAATGAATGTTCCTTAACTTTGTCCACACTCCATAGCCTTGGGATAGTATCAATCCTGCCATGGATTCTAATGCACATGTCTTTGTTTGGACACTGAAGGCCTGGGTGAAAAGGGTTGTTAATAAAAAAAAAAAAAATTAAAAATAATAATTATAGTTGAAGGCCTAAGAAATCTAAATTCACCTCCAATTACTGTGGAAGTGCCTTCTGGCAATCACTATTACCTCTTTTCTAGCAGACCTTTCTTACTTCCTGTTCAAACTTTCTTTTGAGCATAACATCATGGCAAAAGACAAAAGAAGGAACTTATTTCTGCTTTTCACCTTATCACTCTGGATGACTAACTACGGTACAAGTCAAGCCATTTCTTTCACTTTTATCTGAGGAGGCACATTGAAGTTTTCAAAGAATCTGTTAATGAGGCCCACAAGTATTTCTTGTCTTTTGGTTTTCACTCCACAGAGTGATGATATGAAACTTGTTTTTTTTTTTTTTTTTTTTTTTTTTTTTTTTTTTTTTTTTTTTTTTTTTTTTTTTTTTTTTTTTTTTTTTTTTTTTTTTTTTTTTTTTTTTTTTTCTGTGAAGTTTCCTCACTTTTGATGATTTTTTCATGCAAAGAAACCCATTATCCTTCTTAGTCATCTCTTTGGAAAAGAGTAAAATGCTCACAATTCAAAAGGAAATCAAAGATTGAATCTTTTTCGACATTTATAACCGACAAAGTCTTGTATAATGAACAATCTTTGTGCCGAATGGTTTATTTGGATCTTGTTGGGAGCATGCGGTTGCATTATCATAGCTCACCTTGCTTGGGAATCTGTGATGTGTTCATGTATGCTTGAATCACTTGTTCAAATCAAGAAACCTTGTTCCTGTTACGTGGATCTTGCCAATAAAAATTTTGATCTCAAATGGTGTCTTAATATTCCTTTCAGGGTGATTGTAATAGAATAACACAGAATGGAAATATTTGATAACTAATTTTGTGCCACTTCATCTGCAAAACTACATAAACACCTTTCTTGAAGCTAGTTGTTTGCTTAGCAACTGATTTTTATCAATGTGTATTTGTTTGCAGACGTTCTTAATCCTTTCATGTACCATTGCGGTAGGGACAAATCTCAGCCAGTTCATATGCATTGGTAGGTTCACTGCTGTGACATTCCAAGTGCTCGGCCATATGAAGACTATTTTAGTCTTGACGTTAGGATTCATTTTCTTTGGGAAAGAGGGCCTCAACTTACAAGTAATTATAGGTATGGCCATCGCAATTCTTGGAATGATCTGGTATGGAAATGCCTCATCTAAGCCAGGAGGGAAGGAGCGTCGTAGTTTTTCCTCAACAAGTAGCAAAGCATTAAAGCACACTGGATCAGAATCTTCCGACCTTGATGAAAAGATATAGAGCTGAGTAGATTTTGTAGTTTTTATTTTTTCCCCAATAATGGCCATTGATGAAAAAATAAAGGGGAAATTATATAGAGACTAGAGAGAGAAAAGGAAATGATATTGACTTCAGTATATTCCAGGAGATTCTTGACACATAATTGGCAGGCCCCTCACCTATTTTAGTTCATTATAGCTTTTTTTTTTTTTTGTTCTCTTTCTTTCTTTTATTCACATGAAAAAGGTATGCCATCTTTTGAAGGGATGCAACTCAATGGTTCCCCTACAAAAAGTATACAATGTTACAGATACCACAGTTATCAATAGTATAGATATTTCCCTTCTTCAATCTCCATGTCTAGTGGCTATTCCAACATGGTCGACGTATTATCGTATTTTATGCTTTGTTGCTTGAAATTTTCTTACTATATCTGACTAACCCATTTCGATGTCCAAGCATTAGTGGACCATTAGTTGCAATCTGATTTCTTAAGATTCACCTGGAAATTTTTTGCACGTGAGAAACATACCTTGTTATGTGTTAGGTGGGCTTCTGAAGAAGGATCATTGAATTATTGGGAGGACTAATAGTAAATAGGAACCTCCTGTGGGTTCAATGACTGTGGTACCTCTCAGTTTGATCTGCCAATTTTTTTTGAGACAGGTAATCGAGAAAACAGTACCAATAACTATGCCTCTCTGTGGCAGTTCTTCCTGGAGAATGAATGCTTTCATTAGAACAGTAAATTTTAGTCCTAATTTGACACTTACCGAATTTATTATCTCTGCAGGGCACAGACAGCAGCTGCAACTCTCTAGGACTTGTCATTTGCAGACTGGAAAATGTTCTTTTCTCTCTCCTCTCTCTGTCTCTCTCTAACATGTTCATTACCATAAGATGCCTTATTTCCTAGCATGACTGAGGCAAAGTTCAAAATATCTTTATGGATTTGCTGAGGTGATGATTATAGGAAGCAAGCCCTTCTTTTACACTTTTCTGTTGTTTTTATTTGTGATATTCTTAGGAGACAACCTAATGTTTTAGGTTGGTTATGTTGCCCAGGGGTTCTTAGCCTTCCCTCTGCCTGGCTGAGTGATTGTTTCAGTGATGGAGAAGAAAACAAGAGAAAGGGTTCATGGATTTACTAAAAAGCTTCAGAGAGAGAAAGTCAGGTTCATTCAATTTCATTTACAGCTGCATCTGGGTCCAACAAAGTGTCCCTATGTGCCTCAGAATGGCCATGGCTGCCTAAGATTTGGGTACCAACACAAATTGGACATTATCTACATTGATATTCATCTCCTTTGCTTCCACAATTATCCTCTTGTTTTCATAGCTGAATATAGCTTTTGAATTGTGAACAGTATGGTACTGTTCAACTGCCTTTTAAGCAAATTATGAGAGAGAGAAAGATCAAAACCCAATATTTTCTTTTTATTGATTTATATTCTTGTTTTGATATCAAATAATGAAAGCGAACTGTCACTTGAACTGCAAATAAACAGTTTGATAATTTGTTAATGTTTAGAGCTTCATGTGCCGCTATGAACTAAAGAAACAAAATTTATCCAAAATCCCTTTGCTTGACTTTTCAAAATTAATCCAACAAATTGATATTTGCCAACCTTGCCATACGTTTTTCAAATCTGAAATAGATATAAATTTTAAAGTTTTTTTTTTTTTAATAAATCGAAAAGTTTTTCAACGATTGAATTTTCTTCTTTATTTTGGGTAGATATGAGTAGAATTAATGAAGCAATTGGAAGCCAGCTTTGACATATCCCATCCCTTTCAATCTCATCTTTAGCTTTAGCTTAATCCGAGCTAGATTGATCATCTACACCGTCAAGATCCAAGATTCAAATCTTCAACATTTAGTTAAACCGACCCTAAAAAGTTGAAAATATTCAAATGAAGGAGCTGTAAGACACTCAACCTCCAAACCTCGACTTTTTTATAAAAAAAAAAAAATTTGCTACTGAAAATTAAGTTTTTTAACTTTCAAATTCATTTATTATTTATTTTAAAAAAAAATTATAATAATAAATTTAATAAGTTTTTAAAAATAATTACATGATAAAGTCACAAAAGCTTAATTTTATTAAATTTTAATTAGATTATTTTTAAAATGTCAGTATATCATTAAATTATTGTTTTAATAATATATTTGAACACTCTATATATCTAAATATTTAGATAAAATAATAATGTATTAATAAAACGATTTTATATTTAAATTTTTTTTTATAAATTTTTAATAAAATAACCTAATTGATAATTTACATTAAAAATAAAATTTATAATTAAACAATTATATATAATTGTGGAGAGGGGATGGGGCCTACACTAATATGTGGTGGGCCCCAGAAAACCTTCAATTATTGTATGTATCTGAGTTGTGCACGTGTGGTGTTTTCTTTTTTTTTTTTTTTTTCTTTCTTGTTTTCCTAATTTCAAATTAAAAAATATATATATACACACACATTGGGAAGCTACAGTAATAGTGACAGGCTGGCCAAGTTGTCGGTGACCCAGCAGTCAAACTAAGCGATGGTATACACACCTTACGTGTCAAATTCAGCCACGTCATCACATTGGACATGAGCACGTGTCCATGGCAGCTTGTGGCCCCCTCAACCCTTCCCACATCATCACCATAACCATCAAATTTGTTTTTATCTTCTTCCAAATAATTTTTTAAATACTTTAATAAATAATAGTCTATTTTTCTCTCTCTAAAAAAAAATAACATTAAATAATATAAAATCTTCTTAAATTCTTACCTCTGATTAAAATAAAATATATTTACCGACTTTTTATCTTATATTTTAGTAGGTTTTTACTTCATTCAAATTAAGAAAAAAGTAATATTTTTAATTATTAAAAGGATAGAAAAAAACAAAAAACAAATTATTTTAGAAAATTTTTAAGAGAAATTAAATTATTTTCATTAAAAGTAGGGCCCATTTGGGGGAAAGTAATAGGAGTTGTGGGACCCAGTGGTACCTAGAAGGACAGAAATTTAGAGAGAGAAAGAGTTGAGACTGACAGTCTCATCAACTTATGAGTCAATAAATTGATGGTGTTGCAATCATGTTTAAATGAGAATGATCTAGCAAAAAAAAAAAAATATATATATATGTTATTAGTACTCGTATTAATTTGTGACAATAATTTCTCGCTCTCGTAAGTAGGTCAAGATAAGTAGATAACATAGTCATATTTTTTGAGATAACGCTTCTTAATAAAAACATGTCCTCTCTAAAACCAACGGCCTTCCAGCATCAGTAGATGCTATCTTGAATTGCTTCTTTGTTTCTTATGTGATCTTCGTTTGTAAAATTGTTTTCGTATAGATAAGTAATTATGCAAATGTTCTCTTTATAGTGATTTATTCCCAATGTAAAGCCTTTGGAACTAAAATGTTGGACTTGTTGGCATTTGTCTCGATGAGTAGAGTCGTTCCCTCTCGAGACAATCTTAATTCCTTTTGGGGGTAAATCAATATGCCTTAAATGATAATATATCTTAAATATCGCTAATTTCTAAATTTATATTCAATCACTTGAAAATTACCATAAAGATTAAAAAATTTAAGATTTTTAGACGGGTGAGAGATGAAGAGTAATTTTGGGTAGCACTTGAAGTAATAGGATGCACCATCTTTTATATTAGGATCGACACTTAGACACTTTCTAATTAGGAGTTTAAAAAATTTGAACGTCTCTTATCCCTAGGAATAAGGACAAATTTGAACCGTGATTTAATCAGTTCTTGAATTACTCCGAGGTGAAACTATTGATATTCTTCGTGGCGTTTGAGTATCAACTCTTTGATGAAGAGACCGAGATACTTCATATTTTACATCATTTTATCTTTTTTAGTTTAACGGTCACAAAAATGTGACATACCCATTGAGTTGTTTACTAATAAACACGTTCATAATATAACAATAAAAGAAATGCACTGATTATCATCATAAAATAATAAAATAATTATAATCACGATTTTTTAGGGGAAAAAAAAAGCTCACGAGTATAATCACATCAACACCACGAAACCTTTCCTGGTGCAAAAAGCTTCACGTGATGTGTTGGGGACAGATAATGCTTTAATCGTGACGCTTAAAACAACAACACAGATAATGCTTTTATCGTGATACTTAAAATAAGTTTGATTCATAAATATTTCGCTCTAAAGTAGTAAAAATAAAATTTACGGTTTAACTAACACGTCAAATTATCCATTTTAAGAAACACAAAATGATTGATTTGTTTTAAAATTTAAATGAAAATTTGATTTTGTTCATGAAAAGTGAAGAACTTTTGGCCTACTTTTCTTTCAAAGGTTGATTCTATCTTTATTTCAGGTCCCAAAAAAAAAAATAATAATAATAATAATAATAATAGTTTCTTCAATTTGTCTTATCTTCTACCTATTTTCCTTCTATTTAATTATCATTTTTTTAATCTTAATTCAACCACTTGTAGCAAAGTATTGGGCCAAATTAGGATGCTTTTGGGCCTATTGGGCCCAATTTAAAAGCCCAATTTCCATCTGAAAAGATAATCTAGGAAGAAGTGAAAGCTTAGGAGTGAAAAAACTAATCTAAAACGACAGTCATCCTCCATTTATCCGAACTCTATCCGACAAAATAGACGAAATGACATATATACCCTTAATTGTCCCCGATTAATTTCACAATTATCGTTCACTCAAAGGAACAATCTCAATTATCGGATACCCCTCTGGGGAAAACAGAATTCCCCACGTAAGGACTATAAAGGCACCTGAATGTCTTTTTTCTTTCCTTTTCCACCCTAAAAATAACAACTAGATGAAGGGTATTTACGTCATTTTGTTTTTTTTTATTTTTTATTTTTAGTTCTGTTGTGAATTATATTGTTAATTAGTATTTTATCTATTAAGCTATAGTGGTATTTTTCACGTCATTTTGTCTTTTGAAGACGGTTCAACGTAAAGATTATACTTGAATTCTTTCTATATACAACTATTCATAATATAATAATAAAATAAATGCACTAATTATCATCATAAATAGATAAACCGATAATTGAGATCAAGATTTTTTTTTAAAAAAAGCTCACAAGTATAATCACATCAACACCACGAAACTCTTCCCGATGCTAAAAGCTTCACGTGATGTGTTGGAGCAGATAATACTTTCATCGTGACACTTAAAACAAGAACACAGACAATACTTTTACAATTCTTAACACAAGTTTGTTTCACATATATTTTGCTCAAAAATACTAAAAAAATAAAATTTACGGTTTAACCGACGCGTTAATTTATATTTTGGTTCGGTTGGTTCAAACATAAAATCATTATTGATTTCTCTTGAAACTTAAAGTGACATTAATTGAAGAATGATAAACCCAAATAATTTTGATTTTGTTCATGAAAAAGTGAAGAACTTGACCACTATTTAATGAAGAGAAAGGGAAATGAAAACATGCAATGGGTTTAGAGATCTTTACCGAATTTGCATTAAAAATAAAAAAATAAAAAGCAATTAAATTGATGGCGATGGATCAAGCGTTGATCATCATAAAGCTAGAGAGAGAAAGTGAATTAATTAATGATTAAGACATTAATCTTAAATTAAATGGATAGTTTACCAGATTTTACGTACTCATCTCCCTCCATGAGAGACAAAGAAGCTGTTTTGGAGCCACAAATTTAGTAGAGATTTTTGGGTTTGAAAAAGTTTGAAACTTTGAATATTTAAATCACTCTGTTCTTCATCTTAGATAAGCTTAATCAAGATTAATTAATTGAATTAGGGTTTTGTTTCTCCTTTTTTTGTTGCAGACTCACATGGCATGTGACCAACAGCTGTGCCCACTCTCTCTGCTTCATAAATACCCTTCTTCCCTTCCTTCCTCAGACTTTTGATCCCATCTCCCTCTCTCTCTGGAAAACCCAGAGCTACTGAGCTCTGCTTCTCCCTCTCTAATGGCGGACTTCGAACCCTAACACAGTTTTCCGCTTCCTTTTTGCTTATTACCCCAAAACAATGATACCCTTTTCCTCATCTTCTTCAATATCCTTTCTGTTCTTCTTTTTCTTCCTTTTTTACCTCTCTGTTTTCTCTGTTTCTTCTTCTCATACAGACGCCCAGCAGCTGATTTCATTGAAATCTTCACTTCCCAATCCAAACCTCCTTCAAAACTGGCTTTCCAACGGCGACCCATGTTCGTTTTCCGGCGTTTCCTGCAAGGAAACCAGAGTTTCCGCCATAGATTTGAGCTTCGTGTCGTTGAGCTCTAATTTCAGCCATGTTTTCCCTTTGCTTGCGGCTCTCGACCATTTGGAATCGCTTTCTCTGAAATCCACGAACCTTACTGGCTCCATTTCCCTGCCCGCTGGATTCAAATGTAGCCCTCTTCTTTCTTCTCTTGATCTGTCACTCAATGGCTTGTTCGGCTCTGTTTCTGATGCCTCTTATTTGGGGCTTTGTTCCAATATCAAGTCGCTTAATCTGTCATTTAACGCTTTTGATTTTCCCCCAAAAGACTCTGCCGCCGGATTGAAGCGGGATTTGCAAGTTCTTGATCTTTCTTCCAATCGGATTGTTGGGTCGAAATTAGTTCCATGGGTTCTCTCTACTGGGTGTAGTAATTTGCAGTTCTTGGCATTGAAGGGCAACAAAATCAGCGGCGAAATTAATCTCTCATCCTGTAATAAACTCCAGCATTTGGATATCTCCGGCAACAATTTCTCTGCGGGTATTCCGTCGTTAGGCGATTGCTCTGTTTTGGAGTATCTTGATATATCCGGCAATAAGTTCACCGGCGACGTCGGAAATACTCTGTCTTCTTGTTTGCAACTGAGATTTCTGAATCTCTCGAGCAACCAGTTTCAGGGATCAATCCCTTCATTTTCATCGCCGAATTTGTGGTTTCTTTCGCTTGCTAACAACGATTTTCAGGGGGAGATTCCGGTGAGTATTGCTGATTCTTGTTCTAGTTTGGTTCATTTGGATCTTTCTGAAAATAGATTGATTGGGGGTATACCTTCTGGTTTGGGGTTTTGTTCTTTGTTGGAATCTTTGGACATTTCTAAAAATAACCTCTCTGGTGAGCTCCCCATTGATGTTTTTGCCAAAATGAGTAGTTTGAAGAGACTGTCCATGTCGGATAACAAGTTTTTCGGGGTTTTGTCGGATTCTCTGTCTCAGCTCACCACTTTGAATTCCTTGGATCTGAGTTCTAATAACTTCTCTGGCTCGATTCCTGTCGGGCTCTGTGAAGATCCTAAGAACAGCTTGAAAGAATTGTTTCTTCAGAACAATTGGTTGACTGGTCGGATCCCTGCAAGTATTAGCAACTGTTCTCAGCTGGTTTCGCTTGATTTGAGCTTCAACTTTCTGAGTGGGACTATCCCTTCAAGCTTGGGATCACTATCTAAGCTGAAGAACTTGATCATGTGGTTGAATCAGCTGGAGGGGGAGATTCCATCGGATTTTAAGAACTTTCAGGGGCTTGAGAATCTGATCCTGGATTTCAATGAGCTCACCGGGACGATTCCTTCTGGGCTAAGCAATTGCACAAACTTGAACTGGATTTCGTTGTCGAACAACCGGTTGAGCGGAGAGATACCGAGGTGGATTGGGCAGCTGCCAAGCCTGGCCATACTTAAGCTGAGTAACAACTCATTCCATGGAAGGATTCCTCGGGAGCTGGGTGATTGTCGGAGCTTGATCTGGCTTGATCTGAATACGAATTTGTTGAACGGAACGATTCCACCGGAGCTGTTTCGACAATCGGGTAACATTGCTGTAAACTTTATCACTGGGAAGTCTTATGCTTACATTAAGAATGATGGTAGCAAGCAGTGCCATGGAGCTGGAAATTTGGTGGAGTTTGCTGGGATAAGACAGGAACAAGTGAACAGGATATCAAGTAAGAGTCCCTGCAATTTCACCAGGGTTTATAAAGGAATGACTCAACCGACTTTTAACCATAACGGGTCGATGATCTTCCTCGATCTTTCGCATAATATGTTGTCTGGTAGTATTCCAAAGGAGATTGGTTCTACAAAATATCTGTACATATTGGATTTGGGGCACAACAGGGTGTCGGGAGGCATTCCGCAGGAGCTGGGCGACTTGACGAAGCTCAACATTCTTGATCTGTCAAGCAATGAGCTTGAAGGATCAATACCATTATCCTTGACTGGGCTTTCCTCCCTCATGGAGATTGATCTGTCAAACAATCATCTCAATGGTTCGATACCCGAATCAGCTCAGTTCGAAACGTTCCCGGCATCTGGTTTTGCAAATAATTCTGGCCTCTGTGGGTATCCTCTGCCTCAATGCAGGGTTGATTCAGCAGCAAATGCAAACTCTCAGCATCAAAGATCTCACAGGAAACAGGCATCGCTTGCAGGGAGCGTCGCAATGGGGCTACTATTCTCCCTCTTCTGTATATTCGGTCTGATCATAGTCGTTATCGAGATGAAGAAGAGAAGGAAAAACAAGGATTCTGCTCTTGATTCTTATATTGACACTCATTCCCATTCAGGCACCACAACCACCGTTAACTGGAAGAACACCTGTGTTCGTGAAGCATTGAGCATCAATCTTGCAACATTCGAGAAGCCTCTTCGGAAGCTTACGTTTGCAGATCTTCTCGACGCCACCAATGGCTTCCACGACAATACGCTTATTGGTTCGGGGGGTTTCGGTGACGTATATAAGGCCCAATTGAAGGATGGAAGCATTGTAGCCATCAAGAAGCTCATTCATGTCAGTGGACAGGGTGATAGGGAGTTCACTGCAGAAATGGAAACCATTGGCAAAATCAAACACCGAAACCTCGTTCCTCTTCTCGGCTACTGCAAAGTCGGAGATGAACGCCTGCTTGTGTACGACTACATGAAATATGGAAGCTTGGAAGACGTTTTACACGATCATAACAAGGCTGGAATCAAACTCAATTGGGCTGCTAGAAGAAAGATTGCCATTGGAGCTGCTAGGGGCCTGGCTTTCCTTCACCACAATTGCATCCCTCACATCATCCACAGGGACATGAAATCCAGCAATGTCTTATTGGATGAGAACTTGGAAGCCAGAGTCTCTGATTTTGGTATGGCTCGACTCATGAGTGCTATGGACACCCATTTGAGTGTCAGCACATTAGCCGGTACCCCCGGTTACGTCCCTCCCGAATATTACCAAAGCTTCCGCTGTTCGACCAAAGGCGATGTGTATAGCTACGGTGTCGTTATGCTTGAGCTTTTGACAGGAAAACGACCCACAGATTCTGCCGATTTTGGGGACAACAACCTCGTCGGATGGGTTAAACAACACGCCAAGTTGGACCTAACCAATGTCTTCGATCCCGAGCTCTTGAAGGAAGATCCCAACCTTAAGATAGAGCTTTTAGAACACTTGAAAGTAGCTGTTGCTTGCTTAGATGATAGGTCCTGGCGGCGTCCAACCATGATCCAAGTGATGACGTTGTTCAAGGAAATCCAAGCTGGGTCGGGGATGGATTCGCAATCTACCATCGGATCCGACAACGGTGGATTCAGCATCGACATGGTAGACATGAGCTTAAAGGAAGTACCAGAAGGCAAGTACTAGAAAATGAAAAAAGGTTCAAAAGAATATATGAAAGTGGAGATAATGAAGAGATTTGCAGCTCCAAATTTTAAAGAACTTCATGTTTATCAATGGAATGCAGCTGCTTCTTCTGCATCTCTACCAATTGATTGTATGTAATCTTCGTTGTTTTATACATAAAAGTCCTAAACTTTTCAAAAAAATGTGTATATAAACAGTTTCTTTCACTTATGCTTTCTTTTCGCCCATTGTTTCATTTCAATCTCGCGTTTAGATTATCGTTCTAAGCCTATCTTTAGTTTAAGAAACGAGTTGGCTTTTCAATGTGAATTTGTGTAATAGCTTAAACCCACCATTAACAAATATTGTGCATCCATCTTATAAGAAATCTTTCATTCCACTCTTCAACCGATATGAGATCTCACAAGTCGTCCATGCTCGACAGATGGTATAACCATTTTGTTGTTGAAATGGAGCAGACATTTTTGGACCACTCGCGAAATGGATAAAATTGTCATAATTGCAAACTCCTACCCCCACAGCTATATTACCTTATATCCTCAAAATTCTTTATTTTTTCTTATTTTATTTGATTTATTATGAGGAATAATAATAATAATAATAATTTGGATAAAACTATTTAATTTTGTCTCTTTTTCCATGGACAGTGTGCATGACACATGCTCGTGACCCAGAAACCAGAATATTATAATCCCTCCCTTTCTATCTTGGAAAATGTGTCCCCCCATTTTATATTTAAACATTTTTTTAAAATATTTTATTTTATTACAAATTTAAACTAACATGTTTATTATTAATATAATTTTTATTCTAAAATGTTATTTTCATCTCATTTTTATTTCAAATATCATTTCGCACGAACAAATAAAAAAAAAAAAAATTAAGATTCAAGCCAAAAATAATAATTAAATATTTTTAAAATAAAAATATAATAAATCATTTAATTATAATATATTTTAAATAAATTTAAATAAGATAGTTATTCATGTCATTTCATTTTCCATTTGGATTGGATCCAAGTGGAACAGCTGGGTGATATTTTTGACTTTTTGAGTTAGCATTCCAAATATTAAAAATTTAAGGAAATATTTTAATTCCACATTTATTATTATTTTTTTCTTTCATACCAAAATGTTAAAATTTTCATTTTATTATTTTTCTTTTTCTTTTTTAAATGACATGGCCTACTTTAGAATAAAGTTTCCCCCTAAAGTGGGGCCACAAAATTATCCAAAAATTATTATTATTATTATTATTATTTGTAACCCCATTAATTATTTTCCTTTATTTTTTTTTATGAATTTATTAATAATTTTTATTTTTCATTGCTTTTATATTATGATACAAAAATAATTAACATCTAAATTCTCTGTACCTTCAACTACTCTTGAAATCATTATCTAAAAAAACCCAAACCAGTGAATTTAAAGTCAAAATCCCAACAATTTATTTATTTATTTTAAAATAAATTAGATATTAATTTGTCAAAATATTGAACAAGTGGGCATGAATTTAGGCGTAAGCAAATGAATAAGATGCCTCATTATCCAATCCGCTTCATCTCCAATCTCAGATCCCAAGATAGGGTTAGGTTGGACTATTAAATTTCAAATTATTTTAATAAATTAATTACAAATTTTTTAAAAAAAATAATAAATCCCATAAATTATAAAACAGCTGTGAGAAAAAAGAAAATAAATAAATAAATAAATAAATAAAAAGAAAATGGTGAAGATAATTGGTGACGGGGATTGATTAAATTAATTGAGGTCTGTTGGGGTGCTAGGGTTACAGCATATCCTACAGATTCCGATTTTAATCCCACTTATATTTTTAATTTAATATTCCACCTCACAATTTCATTTTTTATTAATGAAATTTTAAGTGCAATAAATAAGTAAAAATAATTTAATTTGTTTTAATATGAAGGAATAAAGTATGAGCATTATATTTTTAAAAAATGCCCATAATCCACGTGTGATGAGTATAAAATATAAATATAAAGATGAGAGGGACAAGAGGGAGAGAAGAATCGTGTGGTAGAGAGAGGGGGAAGAGGAAGCATCAGAAACAAACACGCGTTTTGTTGGACGACACGTGGGACAATATCTAGCTGGACTTGTCGGAACTCCTACCCTACAACGTCGTCTTCCTATGGCGGTGCTGTCGTGTTTTTTGTACTCTTTCTATATCTCCATTCTCCACCCTCTGATTCTCATCCCCCACTCAAATCCACCGGCCCCACCTTTAGTCACTACTCTACACACGGCCATACCCGATCACCACTGGTTGTTGTTCACACGCTTTTTTAAGGTTGCGAGATATGTTACCCACAAATACAAATTTATTAAGTATTTTTTAAAAAGTTTAAATTTTACTAATAAATATAGTTATCATTCGACCTTCCCTTCAAATTTTAAAAGTAGAGAGGTTTTGAAAACAAATTCGTTCTTATAAGAAATGTTTCGTTCTCATATTCACTTATTATAAAGAATTTGAATGGTTATATATAACCGCTAAATTAATTAAAAAAAGTTATATAAAATTGATGTCTCATAATCTATATAGCTTTATAAACCCTAAAATGAAAAAATCTTTGTGCCAAAAAAACATTGGTAGAAAAAGAAAATGTGTATGAATAAAAAACATAGACTAAAAAATAATGTTAAATGGGTTAATATGAATAGTGATTGGCGTACGGAAGGCAAGTCAATCAAGTCACGCGTGTGATGGAACTAGGGCGGGGCCCACCCTGTGTTCTGATAATTTAATTTACACTCCCCCTCCCTATAAATATTTCCAATAAAAAAGGAAATTCAAAAAGGCTGATGGTGATGCAACGAGAACCGTTGATTTCACCATCAAAATGCGTCAGCAATTGAAAATAACCGTATGATGGCGACTGATTAGATGGCGGTTGTGGGCCCGGAATTTAAAGGAAGAAGAAATCTAATTTGTAAATAAATAAAAAAACAATAATAAAAAAAAAGAATCCCGTATATCTGCAAATTCCGTTGACTGTGACCTTTATTCAAAGGACGTGTGAAGATTCTAACTGTAAACGGAACGGACTCCACCACTATCTCTCTCCATAAAATGAACAAACAAATATTTTCCTTTTTAGTAAAATTGACAAATTAATTAAGAATAATAAAAAGTTCAATAAAATTCCACCCAAATTCCATAACATATAAAATTAACTTAATTTCATTTTTAACTGTACAATTATTTTGTTTGAAAATAGGATATTTAGAATATCTCTTCTAACATTCTTTTTATTATCTCAAAATTTTGAATTTAATACTTGGATTCATATATTTTCTTAAGAAAAATAATAATAAAATAAAAAATATAATTTGACGAGAGAAAATGTGCATAGGTGCTAATTTCAACGTAGATCCTTACTATGTTAATATTGTTGTTTATTTTCCTATTTAAAACCGTAATATTACCGGCGCTAAAAACAAAAGGAAAAAAAAAAAGAAAAAATATAAAAATAATTAATATAATAATAGTGAACGACAAGGTTTTATTGTTTAATAGGAAAATTGACAGCGAGGATTAGGTTTGATGGTACCAAGAGAGTGATGAATGGAAGGGACGAAGATCGTGTACGGGCAGGGACAGCTAGCTTTGGGTATGAGCCTTTTTTGTCTCCTTGTTTCTCTTGTCTTTTCACCCTCTCCAAAATTTTAATTTTTAATCCCTCCATCAGTAAAACTTGTTTTAACGCAGTAAAAAAAGAATCCAATTTCTGCCCCATTTTTTATCTTTAATTAAAAAAAAATTAATTAATTAATGGTGTTAGTGTTGGCACGGTATTGGTGGGCGAGACAGGCTAGAATTTCAATGCCCAATAAATTAAAATTAATACAATATATTTATTTATATGATACGAGACCAAGTTTTTTGGCGTTGAAATACCTTGAAATTAGGGCTTTCAACGTGCGAGTCACGAGGTACCACGTGGTAGTCCCCCAAAGTGCCGGTGGGCCCCAACCACGGCTATTTTTTTAATTATTATTTTTGGCTGGATTACGAGGCATGACCCGACTTTTTACGTGCATTAAACTTAATGAATATTATTAATAATAAAATAATAATAAGTTGCTGAATTATTTTATTTATTTTTGGAATTATGTGACGAAAAAAATGCCTAAATAATTCCACGAGATTAGCTTCATCGACGTTGAAATTCGTAGACCTCACGTGCGTTACTTTTTTTTCTCTTTCTTTTTTGGTGGGCGTTTTGTTTCCTTTTAATGTTATTTCTTTTTGTTTTTTTTTAAATAATAATTATTTGTATTTTTAATTTAAATACACACATAAAACTTGGAGTTCTAAATAGTGGGAAAATAAATAAATAAATAATAATAATTTCAAGAACAGACCGTGATTATTTTGGGCTTAAACTAATTAATATTTGTCGGTTAATTCGTAAATACATTATAATATCAAAATTAATTAAAATCAAAGTAATTAATGGTATGTGAATATATAGTTTGGGTATGAGCGACATGATTGTGGATCGCGAAGGTACGTCCTTCTGGTACCAGAAAAATGGGTGAAAGCATTTAAACCAAAATTTAATGCATTCTCTGTTGTACCAAAAAAAAAAAAAAAGTAATAATAATAATAAAATAAAATAAATCTAAAAAATAAAAACAAAATCCTATATATAACTACAATTTGATTTAAATTTAAACTTTAATATTTTTATTTATTTTTAATAAATGGGATGTACCTATCGTTGACTATTTAAGAGGAATATCAAGAGTCGTAAGTAATAAATACTATCTCTATTACTCCGATGACTTCTGAAAAAAAATAAAAAAGTAAACAAATGAGAGCTCATGCTCAAAGTGAATAATATCATACCATTGTGATTCTCAACATGGTATCAGAGTCATGCCTTTGAATTAACCATGCTAATTGAATTCTTGAGTGTCAAACAAATAAGTTGGGAGCCTCGAAAGTGTCGAATACATAACATTTGAGGACTCCAAAAGATGGAGCCTAATCTCGATTAAGGAGCGGATGTTATGGAGTAGCCCAATCTCTTTGAAGTAGGTTATGTCTCGACGGATACAATATCTAACTACAGCTCGGCCCATTTAAATCTGAGCCCAGCCCGATAGAAATTTCGGCCCTTTTCTAGTAGGATAAAAGCCCATCAATAAGTAATTCAGGCCCAAAATACTTGGAAACTA